TTCCAACTTAATTAAAAAGAACTTCCATTTCCAAGTTGGTTTTCAAGACCTCCAACTTTCCTTTCTAATAAATCTTGTGTCAACACTGCCAGAAGTGGTGGCAACGGGTGGTGTTGGCGGGAGGGTGGTGGTGTTGGTTAAATTAGATACGAATGGAATCCTTTACATTTTCCAATAAATGGAAATCAATTCCTTGACTTATGCGAAGGAATGATCAAATCCCTCAATCACGGATTCAAAGGAATTTAACAATTCCATTCATTTCAAGATGTGAACCAAATATATGAACAAGAATTTGGTGAAAGGAATTGGTAATTCCAATTCTTTTGAAATCCAATGGATTCCATGAACCAAACAACACCTTAAATTATGTGGATTCCTAATTTTATTTAAGTCATCGTCATCATCTACTTAAAAACTTGCCTAAACCAACGTTAATCTTATATTGACTTTCGTTCTCGTAAGGGGGTGTTTGGTTCACATAATGGGATCTGTCAAAGTAATTAGGGTTTGAAGGAATTGGAATGAAATTTAATCAGGTGTGACCATGCGTTAGGTTGGCAGGAACTTGAATGGAATTTCTCAAAACAATTTGAATATGTTTGTTTGGTTTGTTGAACATAATAACGGTGGTGAATGGGAGATGGTAGTGGTGATGGTGTAACAGTAGTAGTGGTTGTGGTGACGTTGGCGACAGCAGTGGTGTGGGTTACAACGAAGGTGGGTGAGGGAGATGGTGGGGGTGGGGGTGAAGGCATCAATGGTAACGACGGTGTTGACAACCCTCGTGGTGAGATGGAATATAATGGAGTAATATAAGAGCATAATATTTTTTCTAAAATGAGATGAAGGAACTGGAATTCCTTTCTAGAACCTAAGGAATTTACATTTTTCCATATTTAGAATTCGAATTCCTAACCAAAACTAAAAGAATGAACCAAGCGCATAAATGGAATTTGGTTATTGGAATTGACTATTCCAATTTCTTCAAATTCCGTCAGATTCCGACCAACCCAACACTACGTAAGGGTAATTTAAGGGGGCATTTACCTTGATGGAATGGTTTTGAGGGATTTGGATTTCGTAGAGGGATTTGGATTTGGAATCTTTGGTGTGTGTGGTTTGTAGGATTTGCAATGGAATTGGATTCCAATATTTATAAATATTAAATATAAATAATTATAAAAATAATTAAATTACATTTTCATTAATTAATTATTTCAAAACAAGTGTTTTTAACAATTTTAAAACATTATCACATACAATCCTACGAAATCCCATGAAATACTAAGCACCTCGAAGGATTTCAAAATCCTATGCTTGGGATTTCAATGAAATCTCGGAGTAATATTAGTAGGCACCATAAAAGAGTCTAGGGTTTCCATCTGCATATTCAAACTTTGGGTTGGATGCAAATTAAATATTCCAGTAGTAATATTAGTAGCCACCGTAAAGAGTTTTGAGCTTCCATTTACATGCATCTCTCCTCTCAAAGAACATATCATGGAATTACAAGATGTTCTCTTGTCAAACCTCTTATATATGTTAGTAACCACAAGAAATGCAACATAACGTTGGTTAGATTTTAACTCAAATATATCTATGTCTGTATTATATTATAAAACTTTCCGTAAAAGTTGTAAGAATCACTTATTACCTATTGCGTACTCTTTAGTAATTCATAATCTTTTAATTTCAAGTTTACAAGTAATCACTTCACGAATACAGTTTCTTAAGTTTTTTTAACCCCATAAGATTAACTAGTAATCAATTGATAAACTCATTCTAATAGAGGATAATCATTGAGGTCTACTGATATGACAGAATACTCCGTCATTATCTTTACTATAAAGAACTCCATCACTAAAACTAAAATTACTTATGTTGTTATTTTTTAATCTAAAATATTTTATTATAATATAATTTTGAATCAAACAAATTATATCTGAAAACAAAAATTTATAATATTTAATTTGATACTAATATCGATATATATTTTTTGTATTAAGTTCACAAATTAGCAAAACATATGCAAAAATATCATGATGTTTCTTGTCTACATAAGAATCAATAAATGTGACATTATGAACTATAATAAAAAAATTTACTCGGACGGGAATAAACAATAACCTTTTAATTGACCAAAGCGAAATATTTGTTCCATGTTGGTATTATATTATTATATGTATATATCCATTTGGTAGACCCACACGGGCACACCGTACATGACTTTTATGTCACAATAATTGATGGAACAGTTTATTCTTTAAGAAATTCATATTTTATTAAGARTAAATTACATATTTAGTCTGTGTAGTTATATCAAAGTTATGAATTGGTCCCTAAATGAATTAATTACAGACATCACCATTGTGGTTTCAATTTTGTTAAATATTGGATTCTTGAACCTAACTCTGTTTAATGCACTGTTAACCCCCCCTATGCTTCTAAAGTGAGGGGTATTTTTGTCTTTTTAGTTGATTCTTTTAAGTTTGGATTTGGGTTTTGTGAGATGAATGGAGGTTTGCCGGAGAAGATGGCCTGAGGTTCACCTACGGGAAGAGGTTCATGGGTATCCAAAGAAATGTCTAATTAGACAGGTGGCATGAATCTAGTGGATTAGTTTATAAAATATTTTTTACCTTTAATAGAAATGAGACAAAGAAAAAGAGACTAAAACGCTTTTCTGTTAACGGCCAAGTGTTAATGGTAGTTAGAGGCAGAGACTAAATCCGATCATTTTTGCAAACCACAATGGTCATCTTCTAATTTTGAAACTGTATGAGCGAAAAGATAAATTTTGACAAACCACATGGACTAAATTTGTAGTTTACTCTAAATTTTATGAACCAAGTAGAAAAACAACCTAACAAGAACCAACGATGTAATTCACACCTACAAATTTCCAACAACTTCCTTGTCGACTTTGACTTGGGCTACAAGAAATACACCACTTGTTGGAATCATTATTCGTCATATAATTATAAATCCAACCCTTCTGTTGTTGACTTTGAGTTGGTATTCGTTTTCGTTTTGGTATAGATTGTGATTTTGGTTTCTGTTTTAGTTTGGATTTTGATTCTGGGGTTTAGATTTTGGTTTTGGTTTAAAGTTTGGAATTGGGTTTTGAGAGTGACCGGAGGTTCACCAATAAAAATGACTAGAGGTTCGTCAGAGACTACGAACTGAGGTTTTATGGGTTTCAGAAAAAATGGTTAAGACAGGTGGCATGAATCTAATAGAATAGTTTATAATTTTTTAATAGAAAATGAGACAAAAACCAAAAGTGAAAAAGAGAGAGACTAAAATGCCTTTCCGTTAACAGCCAAGTGTTAATGGCAGTTAGAGGCATCAAATACGATGGTTTTTACATAGCACAATGGATCAATGGTCATCATGTAATTTTAAAACTGTAGAAAAAAAAAAGATAAAGTTTTCACAAACCAAAGACTAAATTTTTAGTCTACTCTAAATTTTATGGAATAAATATGTTTTTGTAAATTTCCAGACAATTGCCTTGTTGACTTTGACTTGGGCTTCCATTATATACACTTCTTTTACCATTTTTCGTCATATAATCATAAATCCTACTCCTCTCCATCTCTCCAATCATTCCTACCTTCCCATATAAATTATGGTTGTTATCTCTGAAATATCTTTACCTTCATCTTCTTCATCAACTCTTGTTCATATATATGATGTTTTTTTAAGTTTTAGAGGTTCCGACACTCGTTATAATTTCACTGATCACCTCTATAACACGCTTCTGAATGCTAACATCAATACCTTTTTGGACGATGAAGAGATTGAAACCGGGCTATCTTTGAAACCGGAATTGGAGAGTGTAATCAAAGCATCCCGAGCTTCTATTATTGTGTTGTCTCAAAATTATGCTTCGTCGACCTGGTGTCTTGACGAATTAGTATTGATTCTTGAACAACTTAGGAAGCCAGGCTATATTCTTATCCCCATCTTTTATCACGTCGAGCCCACTGATGTCAGGAAGCAACAAAATAGCTTTGGAGAAGCAATGGCAAAGCATAAAGAGAGGATGGAGACAGAGACAAATGCAGATAAAAGAAGTCAATGGGCTCAAAAAATAGATCTATGGAATAAAGCACTTACACAAGTTGCCGATTTAAAAGGAGAAACTGCAAAGGGCAGGTAACGACTTTCTTATCATCCATATTTTCGCACATGAACTTCAATAGTCTACTTATCCGTATTGATTCAATATGTTTTATTTTTAATATATTTAATTTGGTTAAAGATGCATAATTCTTTGAATCTAATGTTATCTCATAAATGAATTCATTTAACAAATTAATATGCTTTGAATTAGATTCAAATTTGGAACACATATCAAACAATTTTACGTTCATCTAATTAATATCATATCATTCAATCTTGAAATCATAACATCATTTATGGTAAAATAGTTATATAGGTATTTTAATTACTACTAAACTACTTATAAAAGTAGTATAGAATTGGTGACTAATTTTGTAATACCTTTAACAAGCTTCTTGAGCTTGATAATTTTCGAGCTCAAGTCGATCTCGCACACAAAATAAAGCTCATTTATAGTAACAAGCCAAGTTTCATAACAACAATGTTCGACTTGGCATGTTTGATACTTGATTAAATTTTCCGAGCCGAGCCAATCAGTATACGCTTTTTCGAGCCAATAATGCTCATATCATATATTCATAAATCATACAATAAAATTATAAATATTATCGAGCTTAAACCAATAAACGAGTTAATCAATTGCAAATTCAAGCCCTTAGATGAGCATCGAGCTCGAGTTTGATAATTCAAAAAATATTTGAGTTCGAGCTTGACCCCTACTTTGAAAAGGTTATTTGAGCTCCAGCACTATTATTTTCGAGCTAAATTCGAATTGTAAGGGATAAAGTGCGATCAAACTTAACAACGAAGTAATTTCTAAGGTCCCAAATACTTGTAGAAATCCAAATGCACAATAAACCGAAACAACAATGCGGATAACAATAATCTAAATCTTGCATAACATGCTTCGAAGAAGATTAAACACCCACTATGTAAATGACCACCAAAATATACTAGGATCAAAGCATATAACATCACAAGCAAGAACACAAGGATACGTGGTTACACTATTGATGTGATAGTGTACATCCACCAAATAGAAAGAGCAAGTATTATATTACCACAAAAGAGATTACAAGTGTTTGTACAATGATCCTTAGATCCAAGATCAACCAAAATCTTCAACTATCAAGAACACCAACCTCTACACACATACCAAAAATGGTAAATAAGCTCTTGAGAGAAAAACTAAAAGGAGAGGTCTGGAGTGTTGGAGGAAGCAAATTGGACAAGTGATAGAAAGAGCAAAGGGTCCTTTCTATATATAAATTAGAACAAGGACAAAAAGGAAAGGAAAAAGTATGGCCAAAGGGGAATGAAGTGAAAAAAGGGTATGGCCTAGCCTCCGGATTGTTGCCCGGCCAAAAAAAATCTCAGCCTGGTTTTATTGCCAGTAAACTAGCGGTGAAACTGGCGGTGGTCTCTGGACTTCAACTCAAAATCAGAGACCTTCGCTAGTTTTGAAGCGACTTATACTAGCGGTGAAACTCTCGGTAGTCCCTGGTCTTGTTTGTTGTGCAACATCACATGTGATAAAAAAAATCATAACAAAAATAGCAACAAAGTCCGAGTCCGATGAATACGAGCCTTTCCAAAGTTGATCATAACAATTATGTAGCAAAGTAAATTGGCACGAGGTAGCAAAATTGCATTCCAACCTTGACGAGCTTCGGCATGGTTACAGTTACAAGCAAAACAAAATAACCTCAAGTGCATAATCTACAAAACATAATAGAGCATGCAAAGCTCTAAGCACTTAACGAAGTAATCCCTTCAAATATGTCGTTTTTGTCATTTGTGGTAATATTTGTTCTCTCCAACGAAGTGCCCAATGGCACTAGCACAAGCAAAGTTGAATCAAGTTTGAACAATGCTCAAACTTAGCGGATGGTAGTGATTTTGTGAACATATTAGCAGCATTGTCATCTGCCAGGATTTTCTTCAAATAGACGACCTTTGCTTCTACAACATTTTTAGGCAATCCAAGTATATTGGCTCGAGCAAATGAGCTCATAATAATAGGAATGTCTATTGTATCCACATCATCGGCACTAGGAGCAACAATAGAAGTAACTTTTAGTTCTTGGGGAGATTAGGCATCTAGAGAGGACTTTATCATATAAGTTCATCAAATGTTACATGTCAAGAATAAATCACTTTACGTGTCAAAGGGTTCCAGATTTGGTGCCCTTTGATGCCATCTGTATAGTCAAACAAATATCCTTTGGTGGCTCTTGGATCTAACTTATCCTAACTTGAAACCTGTACATAAACAGGACAACCAAATGTACATATGTATTTTATACAGATATTAGTTTTACCTCTCCACATCTCTTTCGGTATTTTTCCTCCAATGGACGAACAAGGTAACATATTGACAATTTACATCGCGGTGTGGAAAGTTTCGGCCCAAGAAGATTCAAAAAAATCCCTATGTCATGAACATACATTGAACTTTCTCTAAAAATGTTCTATTCATCCTTTCCTTGACCCTATTAGATTCAGGATCACTGGGTGAGTATAAAGACAGTGGATGCCTTTACTCGTGCAAAATGCCTTGAAGTTACCACCAGTAAACTCTCCACCATTATTGGATCTAAGCACCTTTAATTTCATTCCGGTCTCAACCTCCACGTGCGCTAACAAAGTCTTGAAATTATCAAAGAAATCCAACTTGTGCTTCAAAACAAACCCCCAAACTTTTCGTGAGAAATCATCAATAAGAGATAGAAAATATCTACCTCCATTTGGGGACTATGTGCTTGATGGTCCCCAAACATTCATATGAACATAATCCAAGATCCCTTTAGTGTTGTGCTTTCCAACACCAAAAGAAACGTGAGTTTATTTCCCCTTGACACATTTGGCACAAATATAAGACAAGTAGGCATGTTGACACTAATGAGCTTCCGCTTTTGCAAGACCTCCAAATTCTTCTCGAATGTGTGGCCCAACCATATATGCCATAAACAAGTAGCATCCATATTCTTTGAATTATCTGTCACACATGATTCTGAAGAAACTGTTTCTTCAACCAAATGAAACAAATTGTTTTCCGTTTGTATACCTTTCATTACTACAAAGTTCCCTTGAGATACACACTTGCTCCCATCTTCAATACGAATCTTGCAACCAACCTTGGACAATTGTCCTACCGAGATCAAGGAACGAGTCATGTCCATAACATATTTGACATTATTCATTGACCAAACAAATCAAACATCTTGATACGAACAGGGCCAACACCTTGAGTAATGCACAAACTACTATTTCCCATGAAAATGTTATTACCCTCAATTTTTCGAAGGTAGAGAAATAGTCACGAAAAGGTATCATGTGACAAGAGGCTCCAATATCCAACACCCATCGCCTATCTCCAAGCAGTGGTGTAACCGTAGCCGAGATGCCTGTTTTCTGTTCGGTTGCAACTGTTGAAGATTCTCCCTTTGACTTATCCTTGTTCTTCTAACTTGGACAGTCTTTGACCCAATGACTTGGCTTGTGGCAAAAATTACATTTACCACGCATCTTTGATTTCCTTCTACTGCCCGGCTTACGAGATTAGGAACGTCCATGATTTCTTCCTCTAGAAGACTATTGATCATCACGGACTCTATCAACAAATAGGCCTTGACTATGATTAGTCTCTCATTGATTGTTATCAATTCTCATCTGAATTCTTTAATAATCATAAATCATTCATGTTTTCACATCAAACAAAGAAAGAGTTTCTCTTCTATATATAAAACAGTAATTGAACTGAGAATATTTCTCGGGAAGAGAATGCAACAGAATCATAGCAAGAGCTTCTTCAACTTTAGCAAGAAGCGCATATGTTGCCTTCAACTTCATAATGATATATCTTTGAATTCTGTCATATGAGCTTTAATAGTTGTACCTTCCTTCATTTTGAAGAAGAGGTGTGACCGCATCAATAACAACTTGTTAGTCAATATTTTTTTGAAATATAGATTCCCAAGCTTGCTTCAAATACCTACAGCAGTCTTTTCTGACACAATCTCATAAATGACATTCTCTCCCATTGCCATCTGTGAAGTAGTAAATGCACATGTTTCCATTTCTCTAGTCTTAAGTTCAGACATATTGGGGTCTAGCTCATTATTAGCAAATGCTACATGATGGACACCATTCTTTCTAAGTGCAACAAATGTTGTAAATTGCCATTTACCAAAATCACCGTCCCCATTCCAAGTTTGAATATGAATCCCAACCTTATATAAATTAAATGTTCCTTCCTGATATGGCCTTTGGGTTTTGTTTGAGGAACCGATACCAAAAGGGTTTCCCTCATCTTCACCAAGCATGATTCAAGTATAAAAGTATGCAACTAGCTTGTGTAAGTTTTCTATAACAGACTCCAAGTCTATCTCTGAAGCTCTGATACCAATTATAGGGGATAAAAGTGCGATCAAACTTCACAACGAAGTTATTTCTAAGGTCCCAAATACTTGTAGAAATCCAAATGCACAATGAACCCAAACAAAAATACGRAYAACAATAATTTAGATGTTGCACAACATGCTCCAAAGAAGATTAAACACCCATTATGTAAATGACAACCACAAGATACTAGGATCTAAGCATATAACATCACAAGGAAGAACACAAGGATTTAACATGGTTTGACTATCAATGTGATAGTGTATATCCACTAAATAGAGAGAGCAAATATTATATTACCACAAAGGAGATTAGAAGTGCTTGTACAATAATCCTTAGATCCAAGACCAACCAAATCTTCAACTATCAAGAACACCAACTTCTACACACATACCAAAAATGGTAAACAAGCTCTTGAGAGAAAAAGTAGAAGAAGAGGTCTTGAGTGTTGGAAAAAACAAATTGGACAAAGTGGACAAGTGATAGAAAGAGCAAAGACCTTCCTATATATGAATTAGAAGAAGGACAAAAAGGAAAGGAAAAAGTATGGCCAAAAGGGTATGGCCTAGCCTCCCAAATTGTCGCCTGTCAAAAAAATCTTGGGCTAGTTTTACGCTAGYTAAACTAGCGGTGAAACTAGCAATAGTCTCTAGACTTCAACTCACAATCAGAGACCCACGCCAGTTTTGGGGCGACTTAAACTAACGATGGAACTCTCGTAGTCTCTGGTCTTGTTTGTTGTGCAACATCAAATGTGATAAAAAAAATCACAACACGAATAACCTACTACTCGAATCGGCTCGTTTACACTCCTAAAAATGACCTTTAACTTTTTGGTGACATMTCGATATTTATGTTTGATGGTCTTGTTGAACCATAATGAAATTGTATGCATTGGTGGATCTTTTGTCGTGTTATCTATAAAAAATAAGATGTTACATACCAAATATTTGTATAGTTAGAAGTTCACATATGCATTTATGGTAGAAGTAGTCGAAACATGTTCCCTCAATCATATAATTACAACATTTTTTTTCCAATAACAAAAAAAAAAGGTTTTTTTTAACAAAAAGATAAAGAAAATAATTATTTATTTGCCCATCACGTCATTTAAGATATTATTGATGGAATTGATTTTGGTTGAACAAGAATTGTGTTATCTCTTATTTAGTTTTCACATTGATGTTTCATATATCTCTCACTGAAATCAATTTGCAGGAAAGAGACGGAGTTGATTGACAAAATTGTTACCAGCATCCGTCGTAAATTAGGTGTACGCTTATGTAGTACTCTGCCACCCCTTATCGGCATGGATTATGACATTCAATTCATTACCTCTTGGTTAAAAGATGGATCATCTCATCCTGYTGACATCCTCACAATTTGGGGCATGGGTGGGATCGGGAAAACTTCATTGGCCGAATATGTCTTTAGGTTACACCGTTATAAATTCCAAAGGAGTAGCTTTATTGCAGATATTAGTAAGAAATGTGCTGAAAAGTTTAGTGGATTGCTTGATTTGCAAAAACAAATTTGTCATGACATTTCAAACACGAGTTCAATTCAAGTTCATCATGTTTCCGAATACACCTCTCAGATCGAGAATGCAATAGCTCGTACAAAGGTGTTTGTAGTTCTTGATGATGTTGATAGTCTCGATCATTTGGATGCATTAATTGGGAAGAAAGGTTTTCTTCCGGGAAGCAAAATCATAATAACGACCAAGGATGCATCGTTGACAGAAAAGTATGAGCTATTCAACCAGATAGTTCAACCTAAGCATACAAAGCACTCACTTCGAGGCTTAAATGGTTATAATTCACTACARCTTTTAAGTTTGTCGGCATTCAAACCCAACAGTCCAAAGGAAGGTTATGAAGATGTTTCAGATACACTTGTTGAGTATTGTGGGGGACATCCATTGGCTCTTAAACTTTTGGGCAGTTCTCTATTTAATAAAAATGTAGCTGTATGGAAGGATTACATAGAAAAGCTAAAGGAAGAACCTAATTCCAAGATTACAAAAGTCTTGCAAATGAGCTTTGACTCTTTGCCATCTACAGGAGATAAGGAACTGTTTAAGCACATTGCTTGTTTTTTTGTTAGAGAAGATAGAGAATCAACCGAAACAATATTAAAGGCATGTGGGATCCACACAGTACTCGGGATTGAGAATCTCATTGATAGATGCCTTCTTTGGATAAGTAAAGATAACAAGTTAATGATGCATCAATTGCTTCAAGAGATGGGAAGAGATGAAGTACGCCAAGAATCACCAAACAAGCCATGGAAGCGTAGTCGATTATGGTGTCATGAGGAATCATTCAATGTGTTGGAACAAAACAAGGTAACATGCCATACATACTTGTCATCATCACTACAACAAAATTAGGTTTATAGGACACCAACAATTTCTAACCGTCTTAATAGACTGCTTTATACACTACTAAATGAAAGACTTTTACCTGGGAAAAGTCTGTCGCTAAAGGGTGATTTGTCACAAACCGTCACAAAAGTTGATGGGTAAATTGTTGGTGGTTCAAATCAGTGAAAGATTACCCAGTGTGGGTGATCAATTGGTATTTTCTCRAAAACATTGACTTTACCAAACTATCGGTATTTTCTGGGTGAAGACAAAAATTTCACTGGGTGATTTTTGTGGGTAAAATTCATTTGTTTTGTGGTGATAGGATTTAATATATAAGACCCAAAAATAAAGTGTGCTACCTAAAATTATTGTAATAAGTATTTATGACATTTTGGGTGTCACAACAAGTTTTTATGACACTTTTATAAAAGAACATCATATTAGCAGTTTTACAGAACATTATTTGAAAAGGTACCTTATAAAAACAAATGTACTATAAAAATATGGGTTTATAGGACACTTTCACAAAAGTATCCTATAAAATAGTTAATATGACGCTTTGTATTTAAAATATCCTAAAAAGCTCGTTAAGATGCCCAAAAGTTTCCTACAAATTTATTACAACGCCTTTAGATAGAACACTTTTGTTTTTGTTCCTATAAAAGTCTTATAAAATCAAGTCTATTGGGACGCTTAGAAGTTGGTGGCGTGCTATAACCCAATTTTGTTGTAGTGAATTGTGCAAATTGTAAGTAATTTGTATTATCTATCTACACATACATAGGACTTCTTTAGTTTTTTGAAATTTACTTTCTTCTTAGGGTTCGGGAAAACTTAAAGGCCTCGTTCTTGACATGGAAATGCTTGTGAAAGAGGACATATGTGAATTGTTTGAGTTGGAAACAGATGCATTGAGTAAGATGGATAATTTAATGCTACTACAACTCAATTATGTGAAATTCAATGGATCTTATAAGAATTTCCCTAAAAAATTAAGATGGTTGTGTATGCATGGGTCCCCTTTAAAGTCTTTACCTTTAGACTTACCAATGGAGAATATGGTTGTGCTTGACATGTCTTACAGCAATTTGGAATCTTTTGACATGTCTGATGGTAACCCACAACCTGGGACAAGGCAAAAGGTAAGAAACTTGTAGCATCTACTTTAATTTTTGTTACTTATATGGTGGTTTTATGCAGTTCACTCATTATTTTACCATATCTCCATTTGCACAGTTAAGCGGCTCATGCTCAAAAGGCAAACAGTTGCTTCGATCATTGAAGATTCTTAATCTGAGTTTCTGTGAACAGCTTCGGAGTGTTGGTGGATTTTCTGAATTCCCTGCACTTGAGAGGTTAATACTTTCAAATTGCTCAAGTTTGATTGAGGTTTGTGA